CTTGGGACCATGCCGCATGGATTAAGTTTATTAGATATGTAATTTCAGCTTTAATATAGTAAATATTACATAAATAAATATTATTTGAAATTTCTTTTTGTAATATCATATATAATCTGTGGCTTGTTGTTCCATAGATACAAAAGTTGTGACTTGACTTGTGATTGCTTCATATTTGTTTTGTTGACGACTTTGACGTGTGTTAACAGGAGGATTCGTTAATAAGTTTTATAGATGATGAACTTTCGTTTTATTTTCATAAAATGTAAGAGCCTGTCAATAAAATGGCAAAGAAACGTGATTGTAACGTAAACTCTAATGAAAGTTTGAAGGTTGAAGGTGAATTAGGCGATTTACAAATTATAGAGGAAGTGATAGATGATGATGATGATATGTGTGCTAAACAAATAGATTCCAAAGTGGTTAGCGGTATCCCAAAGCAAGATGTGGGTGCCATAGTCCAAGCCACATCTATGCCAGTTTTTGGTAGTGTGGCTGTGACAAATTCTGAAAATGTTCAATTTGGAAACAACACATATTTCAATGGCCCTGTCACAATTATCCAGAGTAAATCTGGAATGGATAATGCTTCATACAGTAAGACAGAGGACGATCATGTTCCAAATGATAATTTTAAACCCAATTCAAAACTTCGTAAGTTCCATTTATTCTTCCTTGAAATTATTTAAGTTTTGAGTTACGAAATGTGTAATTTGAGATACAATCGACAATATATCGGCATTCAGTCGGAAAGGATGGGGGAAAGTTGTCCTTTTTGACTTTAAGAATATAATATTTTCTTATTCCTTTGTTAAATTTAGTCCATTTAATTATTTTGTAGCTAATAAGAAGTTGTTAGTGCAATAAGAGTTGTAGGAGGAGTGTGCTATAAGCTTCCTACTGTCGTCGTTATTAAAAGTCCATTCCCTACATGAGTTACATATAAACTGCTGAAAATAACATGATTTTTTCCTACTATTTATATGTAAAAGTTAGGAGTGATTTTTTTCTGTAATTTAGGGTTTCAGTCACTCAGTTTCTTTTTTCAGTTTATTGTTGATTTTACGCATATTTTTCCAATTTTTGATGATATACATTGTTCATTAAATGTCAGGAAAGAAGTAATTGAATGTTCTCTTGATTAAAAAAAGTTATCAATCCAAAGTTAGGAATCCTTGCACATATCTAATATATGAAATTCTCGCGTCATGGTGTTTGTAATTGAACTCCGCCGAAACGGCTCAACCAAGTTTCGGTGGTCCATCCTTAAATTCTTTATATCGCAAAACAATGTTTGCTGGGTCAGCTAGTTTTCATATATTAGTTCAAACCATGTAATAGTTCAGTATTTTTATTAAAATAAATATGAAGTATTCTTGGCACTTTAGCAGAATTTTGTGAGGGACAATGAGAAAAAAAATATTTCATGCATTTGGACTCATCAAATAATTGCAGAAACTAGATGATATAGATATGTATTTATCCAGGAACCATAACCTTACAGCCTCGGTTACCTCAATCTACATAACCAAGGAGAAAAGAACTACACTGTTACTCAAGTATGGCAATATACAAGCATTGCTTAAGGTGTTAAAATATCTATAGCTGATGGTAGTCGCTTAAACTATGATAAACTGCCTATTCACCTTCCACTTTAACATAAAAATACTTAGAGATCTGCATAGAAAGTAGTCATAATTAATGTAAATATTATATTATGCATATTGTATGTACCTAAAAATTGTATGTTTAAAATTGTAATGGGTTTTGTAAGAATTGAATGGGAAAAAGAAATTTGTTCTCTTTACCTACTTGTGTGCCTGCTTTTCAAGTTAATAAGAGAGCAGGTCACCTGATTTTAAGTAAATAACATCCCCATGGACATTTAAAACATCTGAGCGGTTGCAGATGTGTTTCCAACTTTTTCAAAAGTGCCCTGTTACCTCCCTCACTAGACCAAATGCAAAAGAATCATACTTAGAGTTGACAACAAAATTTAAACAAAATTTTGGTAATAGCAAATAATTGAATACCAGTTAGTATTCATAGTATAAGTTTAAATATAAATAGCGATCCATGCTGGATTTGCATGGGTGCAATGTAGATACTAATATGGAGCAGTGTGTAGTGATTAATTATAAGTAATATTATTCATAATCATTATGATCTACACTACAGGATATCTTTATATACAATATTTGCAGCTGTTTTTTTATGAGACAATGGAAACATGTTTTCTTTAGAGGTTACTCCCGAAACGCGAACCTGCTGACCGCTGCTAACCGAACGGACGTACGGCCTGCAAGCCGCTCTGCCCCCGCTTTTTAAAATTTCTCTGATATCTAAAACATTCACTGTATTGATATGGTCTAAGGGGCAATTTTGATCTACATGAAATGTACAACATATTTAATGTATTTAATTGAATAAGGAATAGTACTGTATTGTTTAAAATAGTTTGGTAAATAACTGATAACTTTGTAATATGTAAAAGATAAAAGTGCTTTGGGTTATCCTTAGGTGATGAGCATATACCATTCCGCACTTATTTTTACAATTCAGTAATACATTAATTCGATCTATTTCGTAAGGGTTAGGCAGCATTTGCAATGTAAGAACACAAAAATATGTTTATTACTACATCACATTACAATTCTTTAAATTTCTTGGCTTTTCTTTTTACAATATTCATGTTACTACATGTAAACCTTCCTCTTGAATCAATTGATAAAAGCTGCATTAAAAACTATTGCAGTTTAAAAGGTCTAAGTGTACAAGTAACAGGAGTGAATTTTGTTTTATACTTTGTAAGGATGACTTTTTTATTGAGTCTATAAAAGCAAAGAAATGAAGCAGTTAAACAAAGAGCATCAATACATCCACAGTTGCGTGAATGAGCTGGCTCATCTAGGGAGGTATCATAGATTTTTACTATGGATTTTATGTGCGCAAGTAGTTGGGTAGTAAGTTCCAACATTCACTGCATCCTAGAAGATCTTTGATAGCGCAAGAAGATGTCTCAAGTGTAATGCTATGACATAGTACCCAAATAATGCTTGTGCATGATATCCACAAGAATGGTTATTATCCACAAGTAAGTAATACAATTACCTATATTGCTAGCCAAAACTTTTTCAGTTTTAAAGATATAAAACTTAGCATCTACATTAAAAAGTCACTTTGTTTATCATTTATACAGTGTAGGGCCATGAAACTGACAGGAAGGAACGATATTTAAATCTAATTTCAAATGTGGGGTATTCCATATATGATTCAACCCCTTTTCATAGTATTTAGGTGGATATATAAATACATACATATATTATATAAAGTCAATAATGCTATAATTTGCTAAATAAGAACAATAGTTATTGAAAAAAGAAAAAACTTTGTTTAATGTACATAGTTTGTATGAATAACTTTATTCATACAAACTATGTTTTTAAAAATTCACTGTTTTTAGTTATATATTTTTATAATTGAAACAAATTACAAACAAAAAGGAGGTTAATGCTGGAGTAATATTTAAATTATATACATAAATGAAATCAACTCCATTTTTAACACCTTGTGAATTACTATGAATGTTTAATAGGAATGTTTTATAAATTTACTTTCATTTGGTAGATATTTTAACCGCATGTTATAATACTAATATTTGAAATAATTGATGACTAGCCTAGACTACTTCAGAGTGGTTCACAAGCTAACATTTTCAATGAAAACTTTATGACAATATTCATTGTGTACTTAATTGTAACTATTACACATTCCAGCGGAACAAAAGAATGAAATTCTGACATGGCACAAACTAACATTCACCGCAATATGTGTCGTTGTGATTGGGGGAATATGTGCACTTATATTAGTGTTGAGAAACAAAACTGATGGGCTCACTAGTTCATTAACAGTCTTCACAACATCAGATGAGCCAGGTAAGAGGCTGAATTAAAACTCGTTAAAATACCTTTACAGACTTCTTTTGGAGTGGGTAACAATTTCACTTGCAATAGCCCTTTAAATGATTTCACTGTTATTCTGATGTGTTATATGTTATGTTAACAAATACAAGATAGTGGAATTTCGCTTTTGGTAAATTACACCTGTTTATTCACTGTGTTATTACAATTTTAACAATTAATGTTATTTACTCCTTATATACTATTATTTAAAAGTATTTAATGAAAGCAGTGAATCCGGAGAACACTCCCTGCTGATTGAACCAATAAAATAAATCTCAAGATATAACCAGCATTGCATAAGTTTACATTGACTGATGTTGAAATATCTATGTATCTGAAACAATTTAGTTGTATTTTTACAATTAACATCTATCTTTACTTGCCACTGGAGTTATTATAGTAACAGCTTATACAGGAAGATTTTTTGAGAAGTACCCAAATTCACACAGGAGGTTCAGACTCGGTAGTAAAATCGATTATTGAAATAAAAAACAAACATTTTTTTCAAAAAAAAAAAAATGCTATTCTATTCCCTAAAAACAGATCGTGTTGACAATGCGGTAGTCATTCATGAATACCTAAACTTTACTGTGCACGCACACAAACGAACTTGTGTGCGTGAATGATCAGTTTTTGAGATAAGTTAAAATGAATGTAATTAATTAATTACTTACGAGTGATTTTAAATATTTATTATTTTTATATAACATTATTTATGTCTAGAATTTAATAAAAAAATGGATACACTTAGAAAAGCCACCCTGTATATCACGGTTTCATTAATATTGTGGTTAAAAGTTTACCTCAATTGAAGTTTCATCTTTATACATGTATGTATATACATGTTTATGACATTTATCTTTAAGCTACACAAATTTTCAAAGATCATGCTATATTAATATTTGGTTGATGATATTTCAGCTAACACGACGGTGATGGAGTTAAATTATGACATATTCCCAGTTATACTTTTATCTGTCATTATATTACTAGTAATCTCGCTGACAATGTTTTCTTACTATATAATACTAACTGGCTATGGCTGCTATATCTGAGTGTGATGATAAAACGTATAGAGGTGCTAAGAAGAAAGCTTTGAATGCCAACATCGCATCTCGTGACCCGTGCATGTATAATAAAGAAAGAGGTATTTATTTCTTGCTTTATGGAATTTTCCATACCACGTAAACACTCATTTACGGCGCTTTAGATATATCTCACTGACAAATCATTTTTTGTACATAGTATATTTTATAGTTGTACAAGTATTTATATAATTACTAGCGGACCCGACAGACATCCTGTATACACGCCTTAAATTCGAATAAATAAAACCATTTTCGAATCCACTTGAACACATACAAAAAACATTTCATCATCGGTCCAGCGCTTTAGTAGGAGTTCAGTTATATACACACACACAGAAGAATTATATATTATGTAAAAATAAAAAATAAAATTAAAACCTCTAAATTATTGTAGTCCGTATAGTTTTACCTTAGCCCTGAATTTCTAAACACGTTATTCAACTCTGTACTTTATACTTATTAATATACCTGTTACGATAAATACTATACTACGCAGCACGCATTTAATACTCAAGGAATATCATGCACCGCTATGGGGAGAACGTTGTATCGTTTGTTGCTTTGCTTTGGTATCTCCGCCACTCGTCAAGAACAAAGTCGCTTTCGTGATAATAGCAGTTTTAAGATATTTAAGTATTATCAGTTTAAAGCTATAACCCTTTAAACTGGTGATGACCTCCATTCGGGCGCAATAAACTTTTCAATGAATTGTACTATTAATAGATTGCCCAATAAAGTTCTATAAAGATATGCGATAATCAGTATAATTCAAATTTTTATCAGTTTTGATTATTTTTGATCATTGTCGCGTTAAAAAACTTAATGTGACCCACAATATGGTATTTGACGTTTTATTACCACCAAAGCAAAACTTGCTTTATACGCTTGGCGCTTTATTTGTTTAAGTATAACTTTAGGTTAGCGTACATACGATAACGTATCCCTTTCGCGGACAAGGATTAAACAGACAAGGACCAAGAACTTGGAATACATTTGTGGGCTATACATGCACTTGTCCAGTGTGGGAATCGAATCGAGGACTTGCGGTGCCGAAGTTAGATGTCAGAATTTGGCATCGTATTCGATGTTTTGAACTCCCTTCAAATCCCGCGGGGCTCAGGCCGCTCAGCGGGCTCGTTAAATTTTTGAGTTGTCTTCCAGCGGATCCCTTGCTTATCGCGCCGGACCACCTTAGGATAGTTTCGCGCACCGATTGGCTCGCACAACCAGTGGAAGGTGAACTGGAGAAACTGGTACAACCAGTGCCGTGGGTGATAATAACGCACACCGCAACAGAGGCCTGTTACGTTCAGGTAGGCACAGGCACACGATTAATTATTCAGAAATTTGTAAGCAAACAATAAGTTTGCTTTCTCTCTATTTTTAGTATATAAAATGTAATATTTTTATGTTCGCTCCTCTTTCTCTATTTGTGAGAAGGTGGCAACCGAGCCGGCAGTTCTCTTGATGTTGAGTGTAAACCGCCGCCCATTGAAATTTGCAACAGTTGGGTTTAAGATGAGTTGCTACCTTTTAATAAAGCGGCCCCAGCCCCCTCACTCACCCACCAGACAAAACGCAGAAGTATAAAACTTTCACTTTAAGCCGGTCTTCTGTGAGGTCGTGGTACTTGCCCGGACGGACCCGCCCATTGGTGAAACAGTGAAGACTGTTGCACGGCTCTACCACAGTAAATGTTAAAATATTTTATTGTATGTTGTGCTTCAGCACTTAATAAAACATCTTCAAACACCTCCCAAATCTCGAGGTCTTCCAACGTTGTCGGCACACCATTGCGTATATAGGTTTTTCAGGTCATTTTTAAAAATTCTTCATTATAAAATTACAATTAGTTATTTTTTAATTTCATTAAAAATACAGAAAAGAAATTGAAAAATGATATTTACCTTTAACTAAGATTAAAAATCAATGCGATGGTTGACGCGGGGCTGCATTTGGTAATTTCATTGCCATATCGAGATAATGATTAAAAACCTAACAACAGGCCGTTACAAAATAACGGCCTGTTATTTCATGCTATGTTGCGACAGGGGTGGGTAGCTAGCCATAGAGTAATATATTATATTGTCATAGCTGTTTTCATTAGTTTATATGCGTATAATCGACCGCAATATCTTATAATTGTATAACTATAGTGGATAGCAGTTAATTATATAGAAATAGTGTATAGCAGTGGCGGATTTGCCCTAAGACCCAATGGGTCCGGGCCTAGGGGGGCCACTTAACTATTGGAGGCGGCCAATCATGAAAAGAAATTCACTGACGATAACAAGATATATCATGGGCTCCGAGAAAGGGGCGGCTGGAAATTACTACACGGCCCGGGTCCTAGGGCAGCCAATGCTACAAATATGCCACTGGATACCTGTCATATTCACCACAGTCACGCTGAATACGCGCCACCCCCATTCCAGAGCGAGTGCGTGCTCAGGGTGCGGCTCATGCAGACGTTCCACATAGAGTCGCGCGGCTGGAGCGACATCGGGTACAACTTCCTAGTGGGCGGCGACGGCTCCGTGTACTTCGGCCGCGGCTGGGAATACGTCGGCGCGCACACGAAGGGGTACAACAGGTACAGCGTGGGTATAGCGTTCATAGGCACCTTCAACGGCGACCCGCCGCCGGCCAGGCAGGTGGACGCGTGCAGGAAGCTCATCGAGAGGGGAGTCGCGCTCGGGAAGATCGCTACGGACTACAGGCTGTTCGCGCACAGGCAGCTAATGTCCACCCTCAGCCCGGGCGACGGGCTGTTCGACTTGATGAAGCGGTGGCCACACTTCGTGAGCAACTTGACGGACATCGGCGCCCTAATACCGAAGGCACATTAGCCTAAGGTCATGCCCGTCCGTGTAAGTACTGCGGCCGTCACAGGGGAAGCATGAAGTAGACGTGCTACACTTCTGCGTTTCGTCCGTTGAGTTACGTTGCCGAAACGCGTCTGCAACCCTGCGGGCGTTGCATATGTCCGTGGGCAGCGGTTATCGCTTAGCATCAGGTGATACGCCGCCTTACTTGCCACTTTCTCACGTAAAAAAAAAGATAGGTCGTCTACGGCCATTTCCGATTTGAAGAGAGTGTCTTAAATTGAGTCTTAAAGGCTCAATGAACCTCAAACCGGGGGACGTTTTCATGATTTAACCTCAAAGTTCGTGTGATCTAAACCAAAGGCGCCTCCTTAATATTAGTTTCTTTTGACAACTATAAATATTAGAAGTTGATTTATGTAAATGTTAGGAGTTGATTTATAGTCCATAGAATCTATAGACACGATTCCACCATATATACAACGTGTCGTTACAACGGCAACAATAAATGAACACACATATAGAGGATAACTTTTTTAAATTGTATTAACCATTTACGTTCTTTAAGCATCAATATTTACCGAGTTATCAAATTCTACAAAACAAACATTTTTAGGACATCCTTACGTATTAAACTGTAACATAAAGTTCATTTGTAAAGGTCACAAAGCATATGAATGGATTGAATGAATTTAAAAGAGATAAAACATACTGTTAGAAGGAGAGGCTTGTAATGCGACGTTGTGGCAACGAATAAAAACGTCTACTTATGTATCAGTCAATGTAATTGTATAGGATGTTACAAATTCTGTTACTTTTTTATTTAATTAGTTTGTTTGAAAAATATATTTTTTAACTATGTTTTTTTAACATTTCATATTTTTTATGATAATTGGCAAGTAGCGTTAGACGTGTCTTCATTTATTGTCGCGGTTGTAACGACACGCTGTATATCGATTTAAGATCAAAAATATGTTACATATAAAATGATACATCGAAATTTTTTCGATGTCCCTATTATACACGTCCTTGCTGGTGGAGTTATGGGCTAGACGCGATACCGGCTTAGTACGTGCAATGCTGAATTTTACCGCAGTGTTTGTAAACGAATGTGCTGCAAACTATTCTGGTGCAAACGTACCATAAGAGAAAAATACATTTTGACAGTTCTCGTACGCGAATAAAGCAATAGTTATCAATAATATGTGATACAGGCAACGTAGTCTGTTTAGAATTAAACTTACAAACTGAGTGTTTGAAGCAAACTAAAAGACTGATGTCTACATGTATTGTACCGTAGTGTATAAATTACTACGGTTAACTAATGTATTTACTGTTATAAGCTACATTGTTTTCGATTTCAGTAATTAGTGTTCCTAATTAAAGTAAAAAAAAAAGAGCGATAAATATTGAGAAAATATTGAGGCTCAACCACAAAGATATTTTTAATCAAAACTATACATACATTTTTTTAAATCATTTAGCAATCAATATTATTACACCAATAATATTAATATGTATTAGGATTTTTTAACCAATAGTGTTATCGTCTATTATTAAATGATTTAATTTTAGAATTTAATTGTTCTTAGGAAATTAATAAATGAGCTTAAATTAGAATTTTGAATTAATCGTTTATTATTATAACATTATATTCACTTAAATTTTCTTCATTTGAAATTATGATGCTGTTCAAATTGTAATAATATATATTCTTAACATTGTACTGTATTATTAAATAGTATATTTTTTTTAATTGACAGAATTTCAGTAGAGTTACGTGTTTAAGAAAATAAGTCAAAATGGGATATAACCTTTATAGTTTATAAATTTTATATTTCGTGGAAAAAGGGATAGATCTCATTTCTACATTCCAACGTATGTTTAGTCAGCGTTTTAATTTAATTGACGTTCATTTGGCGTAGCGGTTATTAATACTGCCGCTTGCGCACCACGCCTACTAGTGGGTTCGATGTCTGATACTCGAAAAATATTGTGCGATGAACATAGTGGTTTTATAGTGTCCGGATGTTTGTATGCGTACAATATGTATTTATTTACAAAAGAAAACTATTAAGAAAACTAGTTTGAGTATGTTATCAGTCACCTAGTACCCAAAGTGCAAGCTTTGCTTAGTTTCGGACTAAATAACGTGTTATAATGCTAATATGTTCCGAAACATTATGGTGGGGGATATTTATTTGTTTTCTCGTATGTTTGGGTTTATAAATAAAAATAATCTTAAAGAAATAAATTGTATATATGAATGAAAATAAACATATAGATATAAATAAAATATTGTATCTAATACATAGATAAATAGGACCCAACCAGACGGAAGCCCTCGGTAGGGGAGACCAGACGGCCGAGGGTTCCGAAACGTTTATTATTGAAAAAACATATATTTATCGTTATTGAAAAATTAAACATATATTAAATGTTGTTAGTAATTATACGGTTGCGGGTATTTCTTTTTTGTTTGTACAGTAGGATCGACTGAACAACATCTATGCGTTTGGTGCTAAAATATTCAAATCGAATTTATATTTATACTAAGGATCAAAAGTCGTCTTGTGTTACTGTTGCGATTTTTTGTGCCATTTTGTTATAAACTTAGATGAGTCTTATAGCTGTAACTGTTACGGTATGTAATAATATGTTCATATTAATTATGTATGCATTTACATTTATAATAGTTGTAGTTTTTTTGTATTGAATTAATATACAATAGTGTGTGTGTACGCACAAGAAGTTATATTTCTTTAGTGTAACATGAGAAACTTAACTAAAAACTTTAATCCCTATTTATATTTGTGCCAGTATTGTTCGTGAAAAAGGCATTCAATGGAAATATTGCTAAAAGTCACACTATTGTTATCGGTTGCACGGTAATACTGTGAATTTGGTCGAAGTGAGTCGCTTTGCAATCAACTTCATCACTTCACTCTCGGTGTTAATATACTCGCACAAAATTTTTCCAAACTCGCCAAAAGAAGTATAACTTCAAAACATAGTACATTCAAGCTTAGCAAAAGTATTTTCATTTGTTCGATGACCCTCATTTACAAACACTGAAGTTTTTGCTTCAATTACGACTAATGTCATCATTAAATAGGTACTATTATTTTCAAAATGTACCATAAAAAACTTATAACTAAACTCCATATATACCTTTACATATAAGTCTACTACTACTTTTTAATCGGGATTAAAATTATATACACGTGAATTTTTAAATCCACCTTAAAATCACATCTGGTTATCAAAATGCGTGGCGTGACGTCATCAGCTTCGTACTATACTTGCAACACAATTTCCGTCAGTATCCCGGAGTTTGTATCTCTTGTTGTAACTTAATTTTTTTTTATTATAGCGTGACCGTGCATAAATAGATCTTTAAATGTAAACCGAAACTCTGCCTTTAGCACTTCTATATATTATATGGATGGAGTTTGGATCACTAGTAACATTGTACGTTTGTTCGCACGTATGTATGGACTTGATGGAACATTTTTAAGTAAATTATATCCACTGCGGAATGTTTGGACTACCACTTCGTCACTATTTTGGGATCAGTTTGGCATTAATAAATGCCTAATACGATAGAATTATGTGACTCATTTCAAAGTTCTTATGAAACCGACGTTGTGTGATTGTTGTTTTCAAATAACACGCGCAAACATAAACGCGAGTGCTTTTAAGTTACATAATTTCTAATTCTATTGATATTATTATTTCCTTTTATTCTATGAACCTCGCATTCGCAAAGGATTTTACCTATTTTAATGGCGGATCCTCGGACACGAGAAAATTTCGGCCTTGATTAAAGTCAGTTCCGAGTTGATTATATTTTTAACATTTTCAATGAGTCAGCATTTAAGTGTCCCGTTCGCAGACATTTCGCGATCCTTTCGTTGTCAGAGTAACCGCCTGTCGATAATTCTCGCTGCAGTACGCACGCGCCCCTTTTAATCATTTAGACTAGCTCGTTTGCCGCGGCTTCACATGCTATATACGTAACAAACAGTAGGTAAACACTAAACTTTGCATACTAAGGCTGAAAAATTCGGACTTCTCCGGATTTCATACGTAACTACTGTCTATTTATTCATTAAACTATAGAAAACGGTAGTTAGGTTTTCCTCAGTTGACATATTTTATAGTTTTTTATAATATTACTATAAGTGACATAGTGGAAGCACAGCCTAACAAGAGCAACATAAATACATAACCTAATACTCCTATGAATTATTTTTCGAAACATATTAACGAAATATAACGTAAAGTCTATTGCATAGAGAAGTATTATTCTCTTTGCTTGTAGTTACTTTTGTTATTTAGTTGTAGAGGAGATAGAAAAGTGTATATTTTGTTTTACGGATACAAATGTGGCGTGAAATGTTATTCAAAGATATCCTTATTCTGGAATGTGATATACATGAATTTTTTCCTGTCCTTTGTAATAGAAAAGTAAGAACTGTTAATGACAGTCCGAGTGCCAACAGGTGCATAAAAATTAAATGATGTATAGTTTATATATAATATATAATGTATATTATTGTAGCGGAAACTCTCGCCAGACTTGCTTCTATTTTCAAGGAGTATTGTGAATTGTAAATCTATTCTATGTATTTGTAATAATGTAACAAATAAGCCCGTAAAATTACACCATGTTTTGAAGACTGCCAAGAGTTGCAAATTATATTATAATGATACGTTCGCGATTGTGTTACGATATTATTTAAATTACCTACTGTTATAAATTGTTGTAGAAGTCAAAGATGACGTGTAAATACATCTTGCATTTGAATTATTTTGATGTCGCACACAAGAAAAGCTTCTAGTATCCTTCAGTACTTAATGTAACCATTAATCATTGAAGGTATCAGCTTGTCATCGAAACAATCGATGTCGCCGCGACGCCATTGCCGCCATTTTGAATTTTTCACTGTTATTATTATAAGTGGTAGTGTTTTAAATATTCATAAAGTTTTAAGTATCTGGAATACATTCTTGCTCGTGCTACTATTTTCTGTTTTTATAACAATCTACCCTTTATCAATAGGTATAATTTATTAAAATTGCATCTACCGATCGGATAATCTTATGTAAGTAATTTCTTTTTTTTTCTCATCAAGTGTATATGTTTGTTGAGTTTTTTACTTATTAATGTAATATAGGGGTAAGTGTCGTGAAAATGGATACTCTTTGTTATGGTCGTGTTTATGCTAATACTAGCTACTTCCATTATTGTCTCATTATTATCTGAAATCTTTTTCTGATTACCAGAATTGTATGCTTTGTACCAAACAGAAGACAATAATATATGAATTACCTTGTACTAGTCAAATATCGAGCAAATTTTTTGTAAATACATACATATTAAGTAACGTACAGTGATAATAAAGCCATCTGAATCAATTGATATTTTAATTGTTTTTTTTTGCCGCTTAAAACACTTTTATTAAGTGATATATAACATTCAATACTCTTTCTTTGTCATAGTTATTCATTATATAATTTATTTTCTTATTATATTCATTATATATTTAATAAACTTCAATTACTATGATATTTGAAGTATATTGGAAGATATGAGAGTATTTTTCAAAATATTAATACAGCTTATGTTGTTCACAATAAGCTCTTTCATAGCTTCAGTTATCCATGTCCTGTCATGGTTATAATTAAGTGTTTTTTTCAAATGTTTGTGAGTATTCGCCTATAATGGTATATATGTAATATATACGTATATTAGTTTTTATGCAACAACTTATATCTAATGGTTATGAGGTTCATAATTTTCACGATGCAATAATAAGGTGATATCCCGTTCTATTTTTATTTATTGCATAATGTCAGAAGCCTCCGAACTGGTTGAGAGTTCCAATTGGCATTACGCCCGCCTCTTGTAATCCTTATTTAAGATATTTTCAATAAATCATTAAAAATATCCAATTAGATATATAGCCCATTGTAGATAGAAACAAAATATGGGCCATTAAAGACGGGCGTAGAGTAATAAAATATCTATCATCGTCATTCCAACTTGTTATAGTCCATTCCTTAACATAGGTCTCCCCACAGCAGGTTGACCCACCAGCATCCAAATTTGCCGCAAATTTGCATGGGTCGTGACTCGCATCTAGAGGCGTCAAAATATCATTTGCGCTTTTTTTAATTTAAGCCCATACTCTCATGTCCGGTATGGTAACAGAAGTACCATTCATTAGAATGGGAGTTCTGTTACCTCCTATCTCTAATATTACCTGAGTCGAATATTGGAAAATAACAAACTCCACCAGTTAATTGTTGCCGTGCCTGTGAAATAAAATAAAAAAAGAGAATGAGTTGGCGCCTCAGCACCTAACGCGATATTGTGTGATGGATGTGGGGTCGTGTCTGGGAAGGGCGCATGAATATTTGAAATGCTACCCCCCGACCTTGGGACCTTTATAATTGACAGTGGCGACGCACCCACCACAGACAGCAGTTATCGTGTTCCACGTCCCGTTCGTTATGTCCACGCGAACGGCCATTATGGTACCATCGTCGAGCATTTAATCGCTTCTAATCTGTGTCCACGCTCGAATTAACGACGGCGAAGGGGCGGACAGTGTAATTTATAGCAATTTTCGAACTAGGTGTATTGATATGACATTAGTATAAATAATATCTTGTGCAGCTTATAATAGCAACGTACAACGCATTTGTTTACGTACGGCATGTTAGATTTCTCGGTCTATTATTTTATATATTTTGCTATTATATATATTTTGTTATTATATATATATATATATATTTTGTTTTTGTACCTCTTTAAATTTGAGACATGTTTTTCATGTATCAAGATATTATGTTTTATTAAATACTGACTGAACGCGGGCATGCTTCGCTGTGTTTTTTTTTCCGTTTCCGTTTGAATTTCGGAACAAAATGTACACAAAAACACTCCTGTTCCAATAGCTATGTCAAGAACACAATTGAAGTCAATCCATCTGTTAGTTTTGCATTTTGTGGACACAAACATGTGGAAGCAATCTTTTTGTATGTAAAGATATTTTACCGTTTTTAAATAATAAGTATTGGGTCAACGAATTGAAAAATAGACTAGAGCTCTTCGTTAAGCTAAGTTTACGGAAAATACTTTAATGATAAAAATTGGGGAGTAGTCTGATATATTAGTTCGGACTTACACGCAAACTCAGACTTCTTTTTATTCTAGGGAGATATATCTAGAGATATCCACTTTTAAAAGGTCAAATCGCGACAAGCTATTAGTGTGATGCAGGACACGGCTCAAGAACACTATATTTTTTATCCCAAGTAAAAATATTTTTAACAAAAATTATGACGTATAAATAGATAAAAATTGCTAAATCAATCAAGAATTTCTTTTAGTCATTACACTAGGCTTCTCTATTAATCGGTTGAAAAGACCGTATATCATTGGGTGGATAATTAGAAATCAGACAAACTATTCTATTCATCAATACCAATACCAAAAATGTTTATCAAGCCATTGTTGAGTCTATGTACAGCCCTATTTGTCCGTTCCGACCTTGCGCCTTATTATTGACAGCTATTAATACCTACGTTTCAGTTGGAATGGTTTATTTCTGAACGAAGGCTCCACCTGAATAGCGCCTCCGGAGTAAAGGTTTTTAGTTAGGGCAGCGAGATCGTCTGAGAAGTCTGAGTAAACCTCTCAGTATGGTAAATTACGCGCGAAACGTACGTTCGCGAAAAAAAGGCGCCTACGCGGGCGGCGTGGAGTCGAAGATCAATATTTTTGGCGGCAAATGGGTCGAGTTCTGTAAGAGGACGGACCTCCATGGTTTCAAGTACATCGTAATGGAGGAGCTTAATGATGTGGAGAGGTTTGTATTTGTCTAATGAGTTCTTTCAAATTATGTAGGTCTGTTATTCATTGTTTTTTTTTTGGTGCTTATTTTAACTGCTTGAAGTTTCGGATAACTTGCAATGTCACGTACATGCAACGGCACGGGGAGTAGTTCAGATCCGGCTTAGTAATTTTAATCTAAGTTTTATTACACTCATTGGATGTAAGCTCTGGTTTGGTCGTCCGTATAAATACTTCTTGGATTTCAAAAGGTCCCAGGAATTGAACGAGTGAGCGTTCGGCTTCAATTCCGTAGTCACCGCAGGTAATTAGTGCTCTTAGACATAACGAACATTAAAATTGAATAGGAGAGATATCATCTGTTACAAAACCCCGAGTTAATTCCTCGGGTCTCGAGGAACGTTAACATATCTGCAATTCATAAAAGAGTCATGTGCCAGTATTAGTATCTTTAAATTTTCAAGTGCACGAACAGGTTAGACAGATTTATTTATTAACAGAAGTTGGCGGGCGTTTCATCTTGACCAACTGACACAGATGTTGCTGCCACAGATTTTTAGAATGGTCGCAGCCAATGGCATTGATAGTCCAGCACTTTCATATTACGAAGTGCTTCTAACCATGGTCTCATCGCCAAACACGCGAGACGGTCGTTAGTTGGCCTAAGAACATAGTTTTTAGTATTTATTTAAAAAGGAAATGAGCAGTAAAAAAATCTGTTGCACGTACACGTACCTTATAGGGTGACACAGCATCATTACAGTAATGAGCAAGAGTAATAAATACAAAAATAGTGGGCAACAATTAATTTAGTGTTTCTCTCCTAAAACAAGAAAGCCTAGATGTTTGTACATCCCGGTCAACCTAACTCGGTATCTGGCTCGAGAAGCATCCCGCTTGCGCCTGGCTTCGCTGCCGCCATACGTGATCTGTAGCGTTAGCATGCTTTTCATCGGTACGCGCGTTGCATGCTCTTGCAAATTCAAAATGTCTTTATTCAAATAGACGCTTTCGCGTACTTATGAACTGTCGAAGTTTACATAAATAATTAATACATAAGTTCCTAAGGTAAAGGTTTTATAAATAAATTCAAAGTTTTGATTTGATCGTAGCGCGGTAACTCTTTCGAGAATTAGTGAAGCAAAGAGCTACCGTTGTAGTTTTCGGAGATAATCACAGAGTTCGCTGCTTTTTCACCATTAGCAGCAATAGATGGCGCTACTTGTTATTTTTTAGGATAAATGTACGAGGAACGAACTACATACGATTTAAGCATACGAGATGACATATACATAATTTAATTGCACTGAAATTTATTGTATTTACGTGATTACACATTACCGAATTAAACAATTCAGCGTTCACGGTCACTGGACAGTCTATCGCGAAAATAGTTTCATTTAATACTAAATATGAATTTGTTAAGGTCATCATGAATGGTGGAGGAAAGGGTTGTCGTCAATCTGCCCTGACCATCGATAACTAAATTTCGCTTCAAAACTTAAATAACTAAAACCTTTTTTTCACTGAGCATTGAATAGGCTGAAAACATATTAACGAAGACTAGACACCGTTCTGCAGTATGATAGGTTTTGTACTACTGAACTGTACTTGACATCGTATATACAGACAGGCAATTTGGCACCATATCCATAGATGGTGGCTTACGAGACTGAATCGAGGTCCTTCATTGGCCGTATATATTTCGCAAATAAGATATTCGCAATTAGAACAAAGATAACTGACAAGCTTAGAAGATCAAAAAGCTGACGTGGCAATGGGCCAGCCATGTAACTCGTAGAAATGATAACCAATGGGGAAGAATTGTTACCGACCTGGACATCGCAGTGTAGAACGACTACCCACTAGATCGAGTGGCGACTTATGAAAATCTTTGGGAAGTCGATAGATACACGTGCCTCAGGATTGGCAGTCTAGGATGGCAGTCTATTGTGGCCTATGATCAGCTGTGGATTCCAACAGGTTGAAATGATGGTGATGATGAGGAGGACTAGACCAACCTGTTTATGTACATTTATCTCAATAGGGCTCTACCCTAAACACCCGACGATAGTACCAACTGCACATTTAAGACACATAAAATGCTGCAGATAGACCATATTTATAAGCGACACAAAATGGTACTCGGTTGCTCATTTTTTATTCTTAAAAACTTGCCATATTAATGACTTCTAGGTCGTCTAATAAAATTACCCTTGAGCAGTTCTTCAAATTTTTAACGTTTCATGGCTTTTAAGACTACATTGGTGTAATGATAATGATCTTAAAGTTCATGTCTTTTGGCGCACAGAGGATGCTGGGCTCTTGCCGTTGGGCTGAGCGTCATTTGTGCAGCTTACTTTATCATCGTCGCTTACAGGTGGTATGCGAGGAACCCTATTGTCACCGTAAGTATCGATGGTAATTTTCTTTTTGACCACATATGATATGTTATTTTAATGAGTATAATGCGATATTCAAACAAGTTTATGCATCTCTTCAACCGATTTCAAAACAGGACTCAATTCGGTTGTTTTTTTTTATGCGAGAACGTGGCAACCAAGTTTGCGGTTCACCTGATGTTAAGTGATAACCGCCGTCCACGGAGATTTGCAACACCAGTTGCAGATGTGTTGTCTTTTAATAATGTATGCCCTCCGGTTACCTTACTCACCAGATGAAACGCAGAAGTGTAACACTTCTACTTTACGCCGGCCTTCTTTGAGGTCGTGGTACTAACCCGGACGGACCAGCCCATTCGCAAAACAGCGAACACTATTGAGTAGTTTTACCACATTTAGTGTAGTTAGTGGTAATTTATTTACCGTCATAATGATATGTCGTGGACTATGATTAATGTTCGTAAGTTTCGCAAATGTAAATTTTTGCACCAAAAGAAGGGGAAACAAAATTATCTAATTTAGTTGATGCATGCAAGTTACCGTTATTTGTAATTCATTATATAATAAGAAGGGAAATAAATAAATAAATTTAATGTTAAGTACGCTAACCTTGAGGATAACCGATTTTAGAAATTCTCTGGCATTGGGTTTGGCTTAGCTTCCATGCGGTGCCATATTTAGGGTCCAAAACTGGACCTCGGGGATGCATCAGGAAACTACTTTAAATGAAAAAGAAAATCACTAATGAGTGATAAGAGATATGTGCAGTAGGTTTTGTTTTTTGTTAATAAAAGTTATTATACTTGTCTTCTAAGGTGATTGAGAGCACACAAGGAGCAATATGGGATATACCGTTTCCAGCAGTGACTATCTGCGATCTGAATAAAGTCTCCCGTAACGCAGCCCGAGCGTTTGCTAACGAATTGTAAGCTTATACAAATATTTTGGTTTTATTCCCTTGCCTTTAACAAACAACTAATGCCCGATTTCACCCACGACCCCTAAACAATCAGAAAGGCAGGGGATCTCTTAGGTAAAGAGTCCCCTAAAGTATCCCATAACTAAATTTGCTTTCCATCAACGTAACAGGCCCCTAACTAGTGGACCCCTCCATAAGTGACACATTTTTTTCAACAGTAGTGCATCCGACGGAATTTTACTTACGGATTTCATTGGAAGTTTTTATTTTTAAGTAAAAACAATGTAATAACTTTTATTTTAGGACAGATACATTGTCTTATATTTTAATAACACCGTTTTTCCATCAATTATGTAAACGTAGTGATTGCATTATCTTTGGACTTGATCACTTGAAGCAAGTTCGTTTCGACGTAATCGAAACCATTTATCGTTTCTACAATTTGAATCATCTTTGAGTAAAAGTTGATTTTAATTTAATCTCTGTGATTTTAATTTAATTTAATTATCGACGTAGTTAGTAATTTCTTAAAAAGGACACGGGCCAAAGGGTGTCCCCTTCTGCGAAAGTTAATAAGAAGATAATAAGTTATAAAGTAATATTCATAATAAGGACATAAAACGTTATTGCACGAAACAAACAGCAGCAAGCATAGATCTTGTATCTTGTATTAACTAATGTTTTTGCTTTCAGTCCCGAGAATATTAAAGCTTCATCTGACGCAGAACCGGTGGACTAGCCAGAACCCGCGGGTTTGGGCCCTCCGCTGTGGGTAGGGACGCACATGTGCTCATGCGTGTGTTTAACTATGGTATGTCACGTAAGGGCTATCGAGGTTGCAGTTCGGACCTGGACCCCGATGCCCGTCGACTGTGTTTTTAGCTAATTGGTGGCTGGGGGCGGTGAGAACCGCCTCTTAACGCGGGGGTACCTTGTGTACGCGTTGTGTTGGTCTCGCCGTGCTCGGAGGCGAGGGCGAACTATTGTGTTTGTTGTTACAGTAGCTGTGGGTGTAGTGCTATCCGGCGGGGGGTCGACGTATCTAAGTCCCCTTCCTCGACCGGGTCGATGAGGACGTTTCGCGGGCGACGCTTTTTGACGTTCGCGTTTGTGTCGGGTTGGTAATTTGCTGCGCTTACCACCAGACGCTTACGGGTTGGGATGATGTTCGGCTAGAGCGAAAAACCGTTGGGTCAGGTCTTTAAAATATTCGCAAATCGTCGCGAGTCTGCAATCGCTGTCCAGGTACACGTTGCGTTGATACCACTGCGCACCGGTTGCGCGGCGGATGTACTTATTTTGTACTGTTTGCTAGTTGTAAAAGCGAGTAGAGTGCGTGTGGGCGAAGGTCATAATAGGTCGTACGCAGGTCTTATATTATAATAATAATTTGTGCCTTAAGGGCATTTTACTTTTAAAGTTAGTTAAATTGTGTAGCCGGCCGAATACGAAAGTGGCTCCATTACAAACGTGAATGTGCGTAATAAATGACATACGCGAAAGTCGAAAGTGACTCCGAAGTATTTGACCTTTTTCTCCCAGGGGAGCGGTTGGGCCTAAAGGGATATAATCCCCAACTTTCTGCATTGGCGAGGGCCTTTATAAAGATGTGACCGGTAAGGACTTCGTGTGAAGTGAATCGCCACACTCTTTTCGGGATTTACTTCTATTCTCCATTTGCGGAACCAATCGCCGAGGCGGTCGGCGGCGCTTTGGAGACGAGTAGTGAGGTGATTGTGATTTTTATTTGTGTAAAAGAGCGCCGTGTCATCCGCGAAAAGGGGGATCTTTGGGTATATCGCTCGAATAGAGCGTAAAAAGTAAGGGTGAGAGGCAGGAGCCTTGTGCAGAGGGTGTCCTCAACTCGATATCGAAAAGATCGGTTCGATAGGAAAGCCCAGATGTTGTGTACGAGCTTATCTGTAACTTTGTGTGTACAGCTTGTAAAGCAAGCCGTTGTGCCAGACCTTGTCGAATGCCTTTGCGACATCGAAGAAAAGAGTCCCCGTTCTAATATGTTTCGGATGGTTTAAGCCTTTCAGGATGTGTTCCGTTAGGCGGTATAATTGGTCGGGTCAGGAATGTCTAGCTCGAAAGCCTAATTGTTCCGTCAGCAGAAGGCCGTTGGAATATACGTGCTCTTTGAGCCTGTTTAATAATAGCCGCTCATAGAGCTTCCCCAGGCAACTGAGGAGGCTGATGGGACGATAACTTGTGGCCGATTGGCTGGTTTATTCGGGTTGCGAATACCGATACCGCTTCTTTCCAATCGTCCGGAAAGGAGCAACTGAAGAGTAAAGTGTTGTAAATGGTTGCCAGTAAACAGTTAAGCGGCCCAGGGAGAGCTTGAAGAATTTTATTACTAATATTGTCTGGGCCCGGGGCGGATTTGGGTTTTAAATTTTTAATAATGTCTTGGATCTCTTCGGGGGTTACTGAACTCAAAGGATCGCCTTCCGGTAGAAGCGTAGCCCTAATCTCGATTACGCGGTCCACCTCCGTTAGGTGGACTGTATCGGTGTATTCGAGCGATGGCGTACATTGCTGATGTAGGTTGTCGGCAAGGTATTCGGCTTTTTCGGTGTCATCTAGGGCTACTGAAGCGCTAATAGATATAACTAACGGCGGTAGAGATTCGCGGGGGTCTGCTTTCAGACTGCGGGTCAAACGCCAGTAGGCGGTGTGCGACGGCTCGATGTCCTCTAGGAGAGTGTCCCACGCAGTATGTCGGTGTTCCGATACGCGATCTTTGACTTCTAGCTGAAGGAGCAAGCATAGAACGACTGCAGATGTGCATCGTAGGAATGCCACATGGTGTCGTGTTTTGAGAAAGCCGGCAACGAGCACTGTCCGAAATTAATAATGCAATAGAGGTGCAATAAAAACATAAGATTGCTCGAAACAAATTTCGATTATTATGAAATATAGTATCAATGGTCTCTAAATTATCAAGAAAACCAAATAAATTACTGTTACCTTGTTCTCTTGAAATTACTTTTAGTTATGGGATGGTTTATGAGGCCATTATACGTCCTCCTAAATTTAGCGGACCGCTTAGTCAATAAGTGACCTTTAAATATTGGTGAAACGAAAACGGTCCCCTAACGGACCCCTGAGTTTGCTAAAGGGCTCTTTAAATCTTAGTGGTCGTTGTTGAAATTGGGCATAATATATAATGCATTTGTAGACGTGTATCAATTTTGAATTTGATTATTTTTCATACAGGATATGATAAATTATTTTCTCCTAAAATTATTTGATATTAGTGCTTCCCTCAATAACGTTGATAAATAACCTTAAGTTAATTTTTCGTAAGGCACTAAACAAATATCATTAGGAGCCGTGATAGCTCAGTGTTCGGACGCTCGCCTTTAATTCAATATACTCGAGCAACCTGAGTTCGATCCAAAATCCAATGGAATTGTTAATTTTAAGTGCTGACTTTATCACGTGCTCAACGGTGAAGAAAAAAATCGTGAGGAAACCTGCATATTTTCGAAATAACAAAAGAAATTTTCGAAGATATGTGAAGTCCGCCAATCCGCAGTAGGGATGCGTGGTGGTCTAGGCTCTGATACCCTCTGTACAGAGGAGGCCTTTGCCCAGCAGTAGGACATGTATAGGCTGATACTTTACTTTTACCGTATTATGATAGAGAACTACTTAAGATACTAAATGCGTACAATAACCATTGTTATTAAGTGTTCCTTGTATCTTGTTTTCACGAGAAGAGCTTATTTCATACAAAACTAATTGTTCCTAGAGTTAAAATAATCTCCTTCAGCAAATACAAGGCTAGGTCAAGAAGTTCTTAGAAGCTTCGGAAATGGAGCAGGCTATAAACTAAATAATAAGTAATAGATAATAGCGCACTTTCAGGATGCATCATTTGAACCATCAAGGAAGTGATTAGACCTATATGATTGAAAAAATAAAGATATTTAAATATATTTATATTTTCAATCATCAAAAATGATGTTTTAGCAAGGCACCCAAGAGTTGCTACGTTTACCGATATTGCTTCTTCAGCATCAGTGATATCTTTTCTTTTTTTTGCAACTTTGAATTTTAGGAAGGAATTACAATCAGCAAATTTGGATATCTTTATCTTTATACCCAACTAGCATTACGTCCGTGGCTTCGCTCGCGTTGAAGTCCTTAAATAAATATCTTTATTTAAAATATACATATATTTTAAAGTTCTTTCCAATTAAAAAATAGCCTATGTCTTTTCTCAGGCTCTAGACTATCTGTGTACCGAAATTCATTTAAATCGGTTTGGTAATTTTGACGTGGAAGCGAGACAGACAGACAGAGTTACTTTCGCATTTATCATATTAAAGTATGGATAACATAAATTTCTTCTGAAACCTTAGTCTTTGTTTGTTTCACGCTTGATAATAAAAGATAAAGGTCAATCAAAATATAAATTCGTATATGGCAATTAACGGGGTAACATGTACATTATGGATAGGTGCGAATGGGTATATATAATTTTCTAATGTTGCATCCTTTTTTACTTGTATTTATTCTTTTTACACACTCTGTAATATGTTGTGCTTTTATTAAAAAAATATTTATAAAGATCAGTTTCATTAATAAAATGCTGATAAACTCTTTTAATAAATGTATATTATGTTATAAATTTTATAACACGTGTCGTTAAAGAATGTTGAAAGATATTCCATTCAAAACTTTCCCTTTAATGAAGACGACTCAATACCGACTTCTCGAGTCTCGATCTATATAAATTATTTTGTACATTTCTATTAATATTTCTCTAGGTCTCTACCAAGCAATATTACGACAGAATTTATCTTCAAGACGTTGCGTTTGAGTCCTTTATTGCATTCCTCCAACATAGCTGCACCGGAAGTGAAATGGGATCTCCGCTTATTGCAAGAAGTTTTGGATTTTAACAGTATATCAATTAAATCTTTATTTAAGCGTGTAAGTTGCATCTTTATTGTATATTGATCCATTGAAATATGATGAATCAAGCATTCATGTGCAACACTTAATTTGTTACTTCTACAAGGCGCAAAGATTAAACGGAATTCAACGAAATTACAGGATGGAAGGGATTTGTTGAATTCGATTTGAAGTTTAGAGGCGATCGGAGTAGGTTTCGAACCCGCTGCTGTTTCCTGATCTCGGGATTTCGGGGTTGTCAAGAAATAATTCCGGGATCCTAGCTTAGTCCCGTGCTGACTAACGAAAACTCACAAAATAGCTTTTTACATAATAATTAAATGCTTATAGCATAATCAGTGAAAGGAATTTAAAATGTACATTTCTGTAGATGACAACAAAAAGCTTTCGGCGCTGCGGGATTTGAACCTGCATCTTCTGGTTTGGCGCAAGACTTTTTATTGCTAAATACTAAAATATTTTGTTCATTTATAATATAAAAATTTACATTTTAAGGTTTCATATTGACTGCATAGTAGACTATCACAGAAAATTCTTAACAGAGGAACTTATTTAAAATCGAACTCAAAAGCTGAAAAATCCTCTTAAATAGCTCATTATAAACAATTAACTTTTGTCTCCAACCAAACAATGCAAACTTTCGAAACAAACATAAATTCATAACTGAAATATAATTCCAATGAATTTAATGGACCAAAAAATATTATCATCACTAGAAGATTAAATAAAAGAGGATCAAGTAGCAAAAATTCCGCTGCAAGCTTCCCTTAAACAATACAATTCAATTTAATATTGAATAATAAATATGATAAATATTTAATAAACCATTTACATATTTACATATTAATAATAATAAGCTACAAAGTACAGTCTCTAGGTTAGGGGTTAAACAACCACAAAAATTGAATATGTTAGCTTTAATTATAGCCGTGTTATTGAATTACCTTTATTTGTCTAGCGACAGAAATCGTCGGCAATAGAAATATCGAAATATTGTCAAGCTAATTTACCTCCGAGCGTGACAGATGGCCATGTTATCTTACAACGGGCGCTGGCAGACACCAGACAAAATAACCTTTACAAGGTGGATATATAAATCGATAACATTTATTGACGCACGTGACTAGGATCCGAGCCCATGACCCTTTGTTGTCCAAATTACTAGGCCAATATCATCTATGTAATGAATAAAGTAAATGGATATTTATGTATTACACACAACAGAACTCATCATCATCCTAAGATATACACCTATTAGATTTAAAAACTACGCGAGTGAGTCGGCTAGTAAAATGTTTTGTGCTTTCTAGTTGTCACCAATAAAGTCGTGCAGCGATATCTTGGAACGTTGTATGTGGAAGAACGTTATGTACCATTGCGAACTGCTGTTCAAGCCGATTTTTACGGTCTTCAACATTTGCTGCACCTTCAACTACTACGCCGTGGAGGAAAGAGAGTATGATCATAAATCGTAAGTAAAAAGTAAAGTAATAGCCCATATATTTCACACGGCTTGACAAAGCCCTTCCCTGTACAGAGGGCAATAGGGCATAGTCTACTCTACCACGCGGCCCCACTGCGGATTGGCGAAATTTCTATTTGACATTTTCTTGTCCATAGTTTATCTTCGAATTTTTTTTAATATTTAAAAGATATGGTGGTTACTTCACGATGTTTTCACAATGACGACAGTACTTAAAATGAACAATTTTATTGGTATTAAAAGAAACTACTTTTTATTTTAATTTTTTTTATTTAACTTAGTTGTACTATAAACTATAAAACCACGCACTATTGAAAAAATAATTCGATTACACCAAATCGTAAAGAACCGACTTCAAAAATCTCCATTAGCACTAAAATGTTTAAAATAATACTAAATCCATATATCGTGATTGTGCAAAACAAAACATATTTACGCGATAGAAGCAATCGCGGTTAATTTGCTCCAATTTTTTGAAGAATTCTGTGGTCTATCTCCGAAACTCATTATCAGATCTATATGAAATTTAAATCGGACTCAGAATAAAACCCTTTAGAACAAGAAAATCTGTCTATATATGACGGAGTTATAACCGAACATACCTAAAAAAAAACATATGAACATCCGAATTGATAATCTCTTCTGTTTTTGAAGTCAGTTAAAAATACGCGTCAAATTGACAATCTTCTCCTTCTTTCCTTAAAGAAGGTTGAAATAATTAATACATCTAGTTTATAGCACTAGCTCTGTTGTCCCCAGAGAAGTCTGTTATCGACATCGACAATCCTCTATACATTATTCTATGACAAGTTATCACCTAGCTGTGGCAGACAGTAGAGTGTTCTCACCATCAAATGAGGAGTTACGACAAATGGGAACTTTTTAGCGGTTAATGCGCAAACTTATGTTTAGTCGATCCAGGTATGAGACTGGTTAACAAAGTCTCGACTTTGCACAAGCTTGTTCCGGCTCTCGTAGACGTATTCCCGGGAAATATTAGCACAGTCAGTGTACGAGACGTACACAGTGCTATCGTCTACTTAACAGTGAATATTGCTGATTTGCAGCGTGTCATTGATATGCAGAAAAAACAGAGTGGACAGTACGCAGCCTTGTGGACCAACACCAACACCAACATTGACAAACTTAGGATCAGAGCATGCACCTACGACGACGACCTTGATGCCTAGAACTGCCAGAAAGCTGGTGATCCTGTTGCATAATTTCTCGGGAAGTACATAGGAAGTAAGCTTCAAAAGAAGCTTTGTGCCATACCGGATCGAATGCCTTTGCTATGTTCAAACGTGCTGCAAGCGGTTGTCTCCACTGCTTCTGCCCCCCTATGAGTAAGGTAAACTATAGGATCACCGGCTGAACGAGTCCGACGAAAGCCGTACTGGCGAACACTAATCAGCTGGTGATCTTCTAGATACCGCAAGCGCTGGCAGATGATAAGGGACTCCTAGGGTTCATTCATTCTATGATATTACATACCTATGAAAATGCATGCCGTTCTTTAGTATTGATTATTTCAAACAAAAAAGTTTTGTTAGGCTGTGAATTCTAAATTCAAATTAATTTTGTTTTAAAACATCCAATTTTTTTTACAAAGCCAGTCTTCTTTTTATTGATTACATTTGTATTTTCATTACATTTTAATATTTTTCGTTATAATGGATTCTTTCATAAAATTCGTGTAATTATGGAATATGAGTCCCGTCGTGGCAGCAACGTGCCACAAACGGTATCAACAACGTTTACGGAGAGAACTTTACAAACGAACGCATAAACCGTTATTGGTTTTCCCGGTTCCGTTCTAGAAATTTTGACTTGAAAAATGAATCTCATGGTCGCCCGGACACCTTGGTCTATTAAACGATTTAAAGGCGATTGTGGAAGCTGATGATACTCGATCTACAGCCGAGCTAGCAGCAGATTTTCATGTTAGCATCAAAACAATATTTGTCCATTTGCAACAAATTGGCAAGGTAAAAAAACTTGATAGATGGATGCCATAACTTAAAGATCGCCAGCGCTATGTGCGTGTCGAGACCTGCCTCGTGCTGCTTAGCAGGCACAGAAATGAAGGAATTTTTGAGTCGAAATATTACAAGCGATGTAAAATGGATTCTGTTAGACAATTGAAAGCGCTCAGCAAGTTGGTTAGATTCTAGTTCAGCACAAAAGTAATGCTGAAACGACCGCTAGTGCTGGTGTGATTCATCACAGCTTTTACAAAACGGCATAAGCATTACTGCAGATGTTTACTGTGAAGTACTAAAGACAATGATGGAGAAGCTCTTACATCTGCAGCCAGCTTTTGTTTCGTTATTCATTCGTCACCGCTGCTTATTAACGACAACGCGCGACTCCATACTGCACAACAAACAGTCTCCAAGCTGCAAGAGTTGGTTGGCCTCCCTCATCCGTTATACCTTGCACTTAACGACTATTACTTTTTCCAAAATATGGACTACTTTTTAGAGAGAAAAAAATTAAATTCCCCAGAGACAGTGCAAAATTCTTTTGAAGAGCTTATTCCCTCCCGTCCAGCTGATTTTTAAGGACATCATAAACTATCACTGCGTTGGCAAAGATGCATCGATTGTATGTGTCTTTGTGACATGGGTTGTGGACTTTGAATAAAGAAATAAAAAAGTTTGAAAAATACTTTAACTTATTTCATTCAAAACGGAAATTTCATAGAGAGATGAAACACACTCGTAAGATTGCAGATGCGTTTCACTTTTAATAAAGTGGGTCCCGGCTACCTTACTCTCCACACGAAACGCAGAAGTAATACTTCAGGCCGGTCTTCTGCGAGGTCGTGGCACTTAACAATATCGTGATTTTAACGTTATCGTTAAAATCCGAAATCATTAATAAATAGTTAAGGGTTTGTTTTTACTAATTTAAAAAGTCGCATATGCGAGAAATATAATTGATTGTAATAGAGATTAGATATTTGGATAAATAGTTAGTGGTTTCTACAGGAGAGGATTGCAACAATATTCTGGCGATCGCCTCTGTCTCAGACTACAGCGTGAGTCTTCAAGACATAAGTGAACAGCATTTTGCTGAACATCGAATGCTTACCCGCTCAACATCAGATGATCGAGCACCAGTCAATAAGTGACGATAAAATATTGATTATTGATAACTGTCCGTTTTTTAAAATCTGTTGTATTTTTTGCAGTAATATCACGCATAGTTACCAGCCGCGGCACGTCGCGTCCTGTGGTCACCAAACTGCCCTCAGAGTGCTCCTCAGAACTAAACAAGATGACTCCTACAGTACAAGCATGGCCAGTACGGGATCTCTTGTAAGTTAGATCAACTCCGTTTGGGCTTTATCGTTGCACGATATTTGCTCGTTTTCAGGGCTCATACTAGCCTGGCTCCAACGGCATTTTTTTTTTTTTTTTGGGTATGTTATACAGTGTCACTACGGTTCTTAAATATTGTAAACTAGCTTTTCGCCCGCGGCTTCGCTCGCGTTGAAGCCCTTAAATAAATATCTTTCTTTAAAAAAATCCCATTAAAAATAGCCTATGTCCTTTCTCAGGTTCTAGATTATCTGTGTACCAAATTTCATTTAAATCGGTTCAGTAGTTTTGGCGTGAAAGCGAGACAGACAGACAGCCAGAGTTGCTTTCGCATTTATAATATTAGTATGGTAGTATTTTTTTACTTTTACTTTATACACTCGTTATAAGGCCCCATTTAACCTCCTTTCGGCTTTATGGGTAATTTTGTAACACTCGATAAATGGTCTTATACCGCATACATTTACTATATAAGTTTAGCTAAATAGCTTCTTTTGTTTATTACGCGTATTTTTACTTACGTTAAATGGAAACGCAATAAGTAGACATTGATAGTGCCAAATAGAACAAGGTATCAATGCGGTAAATGATGGAACAACATAATCAATCTTTAACAAACCCTTTGTTCTACGCGAGGATTACACGCGTGGCCCTTAATTATAATAGTGTTCCAGTAATATTTATTCTGGTTAGCAGAATGTAAAAACGTATGAAGTTTTTATACTTTTATTTTATTTACCGTACCTCTCCAATGGTGAAGCCGGGCCGCATTTTCCGTATGCTTAAGAAGTTCCAACCAAGCTACATTCCAACGTTCCAACGATTAATTTCAATTGTGTAGATGATTATCAGCCATCGCGGGTGGTAAAAACTGTGCAAAATAGGCGGTTTAAATGCAGAGAAGTAATGATTTAAACGTATCCCTTCGAATCTGCAGCAAAACATTTACTTGGCGTTTTATTGTAAGCATAATGCAACGGTGATAAAACACAGTCAAACGTAGTTTGTGTTCAGTGTTCGACAAGCAGAACGGATATTTCTCCGTCACCTTTCTAAACTCATGTTCATTATTCCCAATATAATTTATATTCAAACATCACACATCTTACCGCTTTAATTTTTTTAGACATCATATTTGCATGCATCTTTGGGCGTTGTATACACGATAGTTGTGTAACCTTTTATTTTGAACACATGATTAATCATTGTGATTAATCAGCCGGCATAATTGTTAATCGATATAAAGTATTGAGTGGCTTATCGTAATTTAAAATTAGTTTTTAGCTTTTCAATATCATTATTTTACTTTCAAGTATCCGTATATAGCCTTTTAATACGTTTATCATTTGCTGAATAAAATAAGTAAAGGCCGTTTTATATTTCAGGAGTATAAGTGACTTTAAGTACCTTTCGTCGGGTAATTGATGTAAGCCACTTGTTTTTATGGTTGTCATCGCGTATGAAACCTCGTAGGTGTTTTAAATGACCATTGAAATCAGTTAGCATCAGGTGGACCGCATGCTCGTTTGCCAACTTTCCAGATATCTTTTAATGTATAAAATTCTTCTGTCACAGTTTTAGTGTTTATACTCCTCCGAAACCGCATGAATGATTTTGATGTAATATTTATATGTATATTCAGTAGGTATGAGAATAGGTTTATAACTAATTTTCATACCCCTAAGTGATAAGGGTGGACCACCCCAAACATTTTTTTCTACCCTACTAATAATTTTTATGGCAAAACAACGTTTGCCGGATCAGCTAGTAATGTTATATATTCTCTAAACTGTGAACATATTTCTACACTTTTTTAACGCCAATGTAGTCAACATAATACAAGAAACATTATAAAGTTGTTAAATACCTTAAATGGCTTTAACATAAACGATAGTGTGTTCAATCCTTTATGTTATCAATTCTAGATTTATTAAGTATGTATTTATGATACTTTATCGTGTGATAACTTGAATTCGTCTATTCTTATCTCCTTGTTACCGTCTACTGTTAGCTGTTATCGTCCAATAGTTTTACGTTAATAAACCCTCCATTGCGCACGCTGCTTAAACGTCTCATAGAATTAGCTCCCGCTCAGCTTGGATCGATCAAACTATTTTCAAACATCATAAAAATGTTCTTTTCAATCTCCTTTATAACAATATTACTCATTCGTAGATTTCTTGTAACAAATTCCGTTAGTAGTAAATAAAAGTTGCATAGTAGAGATAAGTAGAGCCCTTCTCAAGTGTATTTAATATTTCATTGTAAGTTTTATTTTTTTTACTTCACACTACTTTTTAAGGTTTACGACTGCAAATATGAGCAAATATTCGTAATATTTTGTAAGTATAGTCAGCGATGTATTTTAAAAATTAACTTGAAACCCGTTAATATATCAAATTTAATTTCGTAGCTCAACTTGAACTTCTGAGGCCCCTGAATACAAATATAACCGATTCTTTTGATCAAAATAAGGCTATCATCGGAACTTCGTAATAACATACGTTCGCCGTTTTATTTGACAGATTTTAGAGTACATTTGTAGAGTTTGAAATTTTCTTCATTCCAATGATTTATTTAAGACTAGCTGTGCCCGCGACTCGTCCTCATGGAATTTAAAATAAAAAAAATATTTAAAATAAAAGTAGCCGAAGTTACTCCTTATTACATCAGCTATCTGCCAGTGAAAGTCCCGTCCAAATCGGTCTAGCCGTTTAAGAGATTAGCTGGAACCAACAGACAGACAGACAAAAATTGTAAAAAAAAATATTTTGGTTTATGTACCGAGTATACATCCATATTTAAATATTACAAACGGATACTTCAATTTTATTTATCTGTATAGATGGTATTTAGATAAGACTTTGGCTCCTGGAAGTAAACATACTATCTTAATATTTTATAATTCTACGAATGTGAATTGATACAATTTAAAACCGTTAAAGGTTCGACTACATTTCTAAGCCAGAAATAAAGGCTAAACTGTTTTTTTTTGCATGAAACCTGGCGGTTCACATGACGTTCAGTAAAAAACCGCTGCCCATAGACATTAGCAACGTAGTTATCACCTTATAATAAAGTGGACAACGGCTACCTCACTCACCAGAAAAAACGTTCCTAAGTAAGATTTCCACTTTAAGCTGGTCTTCTGTGAGGTCATGGTACTTACCTTGACTGACCTGATCATTCGTGCAACAGCAAACAACTGTTGCGTGTCCTAAGAAACATATTTTGTCCATATTGGTTTTAAAGTAGGTAATATTATGTTCGAAGACATCCGCAGTAGAACCAAGGTAACCGACATAGCTCAGAGGATTTGCAAGCTGAAGTGGCGATGGGCCGGCCATATAGCTCGTTGAACCGATAACCGTTGGGGAAGAAAGGTTGTCGAGTGGCAGCCTCGTACTGGCCATCGCAGTGTGGGACGACCCCCGGTACGACGATCGGTAATGAAAACATAAAAATGAAATACAGTTGTTGGATACAATAATTAATATAATTTATACAGAGAAGCTGTTTTTTATTACGTGAATTTCAATGAACAGGTTCAATTAGTATCTTTTACTATCAATAATTTGAGTATAGTGGAGTAGAGGAAACAAATCGTTGATGATAACTGTTAGAATCAAGTAACATCGAAAGCGCTGTTGACCTTGAAGTATTTACCCACATTGATGAGATGTAATAACCTAATAATATTTCTAGCGATAATTGTAGATGTCATTTAAATGTTGTGAATTGAAAGAATCTCTTCTCTTAACCTCTTGAAAGAATTTAAAGAAGCACATGATGTAAGTTGTTCTTCTGAATATTTCATCCTTATCTTGTATTAAACCATTCCTTCATTTACTCGTAGTATTATAATTATCCAGCAGGAATGATCAAACTCGTTCCTACGCGCGAAGGAATATAATGAAATCATTTTTATTCAGCGGCTTTTAAAAAGTAAAGTCAGGTCCACTGTTGAAGGTCTTGTAGTCTAAAGAAATGCTATTCTTAGATGTACGAGTCTCGCTCAGTGCGGTCTCCCCAGGTCAAAAGTAAAAAGGAAAGGGCTACAAATGTCTCACTGCTGGGCAAAGGCCTTCTCTGTACTTAGGGTATTAGGGCACACTCCATCTCGCGGACTCACTGCGGATTGGAGACTTATCGACGCTGAGCATGTTATAAGCCAACACTTAAAATTGAAATTAACAATTTAATTGGTGCCGCTACAGGGAATTGAACTTAGGATGCTCGAGTATACTGAAATTAAAAGCGAGTACCCGGACACTGAGCTATCACGGTTTCTCAACCCGCAACAGGTTTAGTAAGAAGGTTATTAATTCGTTTTTGGTTTTTTACGCAAGCAATCATATTGGTACTTATATGATTTATAGGAAGGAGTACCATGGCAGGATTTCAAAATTTTTTCAACCATGCTAAAGATGAAGACCTCTATAATTGTGGATTATCATTAGCGTATTACCCAATTATTATGTGTATATCGACTTATCCAACATGGACACTTAAAGGTGGCAATAAGATCATTAATAAGTTTAATTTATTTATAATAATTGTTATATATTGTAAGATTTTAGCTTGTACCCGTAATTGAATTATTGTACAATCAATTAGTCAATCAAATAATCGCATTATGAGATACTTAAATGATAAATATCAATAAAAATGATGAAACGATGCAGTCATTTACGTCAACAAGACCGTTAGTAGTCATAATAATAAAATTTCAAAGAGTTCAATTTGTAAGATAGGCTCTCATTTAATTAATTCATCCTTTTATCTATAAACTTCTCCATCTTTAAGAACTTCGGCTTAGGGCTTAAGTTTCAGTGGTAAGAACCCGCGTTGGCGGAGACTTAGTCCTTAATGCCCCAACTGAAAATTAATTAAACTATATTAGCATCGCATTACTTTTGATGTTATATTTTCTTCAATGATTTGCCTGGCCTCCACCTGCAGGAAAAATACGTAGGTATTATATTGCTCTTTATCGT